TAAGTCTGTTTGGTTGATGAGTTATTATATGAACATGTTAGTCATCAGTTGTTTACGCATAAAATGTACATCTTTATTAATTCAGAAACGATATAGTTCACAAATGAGACACACTTAAACTTTCACTGTCAATTTACAAGTGATGCAAGTAAATTGTCAAATTAGAAACAAATATGGATGGACGAATGAATGAATGTAGATAAATAAAAATGAAATATATTCGGAAAATTCAATGATGGTTCGATGAGGTGATTATTTTTTGAACAACATTCTTCTCGACACGGCTCATTATCAACAATATCGTGGAACACACTTCTCAAAGCCACACGACACTTCTAAAACGTTTCCGGATCGATCAACACTGTGTTTCATCACGAAAACAGATGATTACAAATGTCACTCGTTTTCCATTTACTATAACTATTATCGTCAAGATGATTGTTTCATCTATGCACACAACAGTTGCACAATTTCGGTTATTGCTGTTGATCAACGCGAACCTCAGAGCATTTTTAAAGGTTTCTTATGATTCGTTACAATTGCGTACAGTCGTCGACTCTGCGACCGATCAATGCTCATCAGACAAAATTGAAAGCAATCGAACAATACAATTTGATTAATGAGAATATGAAACGAACATTATTTTACAAATACAAACAACAGACGAGAAATGAATGAAAAACAACGATAAGCAATAAACAACTTTTTACATTCTCTTCCACAATATATAAGCACNAACGAATCCAATAAATATGATATAATAATTAAATACAGACAATGCAATAAAAAATTACCGATGTTAACAAAACGGCTAAAGAATGTAAATCTCAATTATGAGTTTTGCTTGCTCAGAAACTGAACAATTTCGCAATAATGAAGTATACTGATCGTTAAAAGTAACTGAAAATTTTAAAAAACGATAAATCTATTTGCAAATCACACCGAGACAAATATACAGTGACCAAGTATGACCATAATCATGAACATATCTACCATAACAACGGCAATAATAACAATGCTTAGAGCAGTCGAAGCAATCTGTGCTCTTGTCATTATTACCGTTAATTGATATTATACATGCGAACACACCTTACATTTATGACAACATCACCACCATTCAAATACCACAATAATATGACAGCAAGTCTTCAACTGTAATTTAATATATGAAAATGAAACTTTCCAGTAATAACCCTCTCAGGATTCCTCTACACACGAACACAATTCATCTGCTTTAAACCACTTTTAAATTCCAGTTTCTACGACAAAATTCCACACAAATACAATTTCAAAAACGTAAAATACCACCAAAAATTCATAATATCCAAATGACTAAATCTGTTCAAATGAAGCAAATCTTTAAAAATTCATATCAAAAGTTGACAATTGAATGTAACAGCAACAATTATAATAATATAACACACATACAGGTACAAGCATCAAACTCATATCATATCAGTCAATCAACTGATTATTCATCTACGATAAATTCATTCATGATAAACATCAGTAAAAGAAACAACTAAGATGTAGTTTGCAATTTGATATCGAATGAATTTGCAAGTCGATCAACTGCTATTCGTACATTCATCGCTGTCAGTCGATTCGACGGTGATTCTGCCCAACATTCCGTCATCATTCTCTCGATATCGCTCATCATCTAAATTCAATACGTGATTCATTTCGTTCAACTACAATGCACACTGAATTGTTCACTTTTTATACGCAATCAATTAGTAAAACTCCTGTGATCCCTTCCAATCTTGTCACTGTAAAGTGAAGAAATACATCCCACAGAAAATATTTGCTTTCAATAACATTCAAAACTTTTAAACGAAGATAATCAGTTCACCTTATCGCTTTTCCACATATCACACAGAGTGGGTCGGTGTTTCTGCACACAAACGCATTCACGCATCTCTTCAATTGACGGATCACGAGTGACCCACTCCGAATAGGGTGGTTCGTAGTTCTGTATGGGTTCTGAAATCATAACTTACACTCATCGATTCGAATGATTCATGAATATGAGCACTCATTACGAACACTTACACTCAATCGAGTTTTATTATTATTCATTATTATTATTACTTCACTATTTATATTATTATTTTTTTTGTATAAATAATTCCGTACGAATGTTTTGAAAACATGAATGAATAATAAATGTCACCGTTAACGTCGCATCTTGTTGCCAATTCCCAAATAATCAACCCAACTGCATACATATCGGACATTTTATACGCATCGAATTGATTGATTGCGTACGAATCTGACAATACTTCAGGCGACAGATAACGCTAGAAATCAATTCAAAAATCACCATCCATCCGCACAACCAGAATCAATAGCCAACAAAATTGATCATAAACGATAAAATATTTTGAAGAGCATATAACAGTCAGTCCATGAAATGATGATGCTGAATGAATAAAACACCAAAAACTAACAATGGTTCCACATTTATTGTTATCAGGTAGGTTTAATTCACCGTTGATATATCGAACTGCCAAACCAAGATCAGCGATTACGCAGGTTAGGTTCGATTTGACCAAGATATTCTTCGTTTTCAGATCGCGATGTGCAATCGCCGGTTTACCTCAAATGAAACTGTTTTCGATCACAGCTATATCACTTGATTACTTCTCTATCAATCGCAGTTTGTCTCTATCGAATGCAATAACGAATGTTACATCCCAAAACAACGTAATGATCTGATAAGAATCACAAGGAACGAATGAAAACGGATAAAGCTTAAAACCTACTGTGCATTCCAGGTACTTCAGCGTGAAGAAATGCGAGACCGTTTGCAATACTTCTCAACATCTGTAGCATAACAACTGAACAGATCGTATTCTGTGATAAGTAGTCGAATAATGAACCAAACGCATGGTATTCTGTTACTAACCATAACTGCATACTTGTTCCAGTATCTGTAAGACACATCCATAGTTCATCTTGCTGCACTATATCAAACAACAAAGAATGAATATGTACTATACCACTCACTATTTGTTGGCTCCACAAAGCATACAGTTGGAATTACATGGAAATTCTTAACTTAAACGGCAACAATGGCATTCTTCAACACTATCATCAACTGTCAATAAATGTCCCATGAAAAAGGACTGTCATTAAAATGCATACATCAAAACATTGAGAACAGATCAAAACCATCATAAATCACATAAATTGATTGCAGAAGATTCATTATTATAGCTTTCATCACTGACGAATAAGAACAAATGTCAACCTTTGTTATCAGAAGCAATGAAACGAAGAATATTCGAATGTCGAAGCATATTTGTTTGAAACACTTCAACCTCACGATTCCATGAGCGTTCATCTCTTGAACTGAATATTTTCACCGCTACTGGATCACCTTTCCATGAACCGAGCCATACCTATCAAACAATCTCTTCATAATTTCATGCATTCTGATTGATACTCTATTCGATACCAATCACATCACCAAACATTCGCGTAACATATGACAGCAGTAAGAAATCAACTCTTACAGTGATGATGACTCGTTATAATAACTTCAGTACGAGATCCGTTCGAAAATGCAATTGCATTCATTGAATCATTCAATTTTAATATCCCCAAATCGAAAATTACTAACCTCTCCAAAACGTCCTTTGCCAATTTCAGAATGTAATTCGATCTGTCTTGCGATCGTTCTTTGTACCAAAAGTGGCAAGCCTAAATTCGTTTCGTTGAACAATTCAACAATAACCAATAGTAACACATTCGAGTAATAACAACACCATCGAGTAAAACTTTAAAATGTGAACGTCAAAACACAAAAACAGTAGAACCTGATCCGGAGCCAGTGGTGTCACTATCATCAAGATTGCCCAATAAATCACTCAGATGCGCCAAATCATCAGATGGCGAACCCAGAAGCATTTCTTCTGTGCCAGTCCTGGAAATTTTCACTCGATAATTCCCCGCAATGTCACATGAATATCGTCGCTTTACATACAATCAAACCTAATCTTAACTGAACCAATCATAAAACCACGAATGACAATATTAAATTAGAGTGAACTTCGAATCAGGATCACAAGAAAATAACGAACTCTTGTGTATTTGATACGTTTGATCGTCTGAATAGCCAATAGAAGACGCATTGCTTAATTGGTTTATTAATAACCGCAACTGTGAATAGTATGCCAAACACTAGTGCCAGCGCTATCAAAACTGTTAACACGATTATTACGACACGCCATCGTGTTGAGTCTTCTTTCACCTGGAATTCATTTATCAAATTTCAAATTTTCACTCTATAAATAATCATTCGACTTTTCGTTTTGAATTGAAACCATTTTCACCGGATAATTTGTCATATAAGTAAGCGACAGAGTCTAGATGAAAACAAGATAATGATGATGTTTTACTTACTTGTACAGGTAGTTCTAGATGGAGATCGCCATTACAGAATGAACGATTATTGCAACACGCCATAACACTTCCATCAGGCATCGGTTGTCTGGCTGAACAGAACAAGTCTGGCACTGCATCCGCGCCAATACATCTGAAATCATTACCAGTGTTCGGTAATATTCCCACCAAATGTTCAAAAAACTAATATTTCTATCAGTAATTCACCGCTTCAGATTAGTGATCATCCAACTGATTGATACAACAGAGACTACTAATGACAATAACACTCACGCATGGATTACGCTGCCATCACGAGCAATTCGTTTGTAGCACGTGCCACCTCTCGAACGACAAATACGCGTGAAATTTCTGCCCAGCAATCTGGCCACCTCTTTGTCACACCCAACATGCGTACAATTACACAGCAGATCATTTTCCAAATTGACCGGATACTTTAAGTCTGAAATTCATTCATTCCGTTGACTTGAATATTGCATGCAATCAACAATGACAATCCAGGCTGAACAAAAACTCGACATGTGAATAGAACTGAAACTAACTGGCATCATAACGTTGCATAAACTGTAGAATAGCATATCCTGGATCAGTAGTATCGTTGAGTGCACTGACAAATACACTGAGAAGGATTACTACAGCGACTGATCGATGAATTATATTCAGCTGTATCATCATCACCATCATACAAAAAATGATCCTTATGATAGCAACATTGATAATTTATTCGATTGGAGAACCGAATCTGGAGGCAATGAATTTTTTAACACGGCAAATAGTTGAATTATGGAGACAAACGACAATATAAACGATTGATTATGAATGGCTGACTGCGGAGAATAGCAAATGATTGATGTCACTCGGTCGCGAATGAGAGTCATAAATTTGAACGTCACAAATTAAACCAAACTTGTCAAAACGAATAAATGTAACAAGTGCCCAGCATTACGATTCGGAAACGATAACACATGCACAGTTTAATGAATGAGGAAACAGAGTTCAGGATACTTCAGGAGCAACTTTAAACGTAGACGTTGTCGTCATTTTGTGGTCACCTACTAACTCATTATCATCATTCATTCGACTAGCGAAGAACAGTCATCGACATGAGTAAAGGAAGAAAAAAAAAACAGAAATCTTCAACGGCATCACGAATATTCCGATAACTTTATGAAAAAAATTACTGAAGTATAATTTTTTCCGACAACATTCTGAATAAATTTCTGCAAAAAACCGGAACGTTCGCAACTTGAGCAAGCTGACAGATCGCCACGGAGTGACACTTCGCCAAACGATGGAAATCACATTAGTATTTGGTAGATGTTTAGAAATGTGAATTTCTTATCCACTTGACGGGATAAATCTGGGCGATTTATTTATTGCATCGTGGCGTAGATCCAGGAGAGTGAAACGTGATGTACGGAGGGGACTGCAGTCATAGTATACTCGAGATATTCCGTTTGGATTGGATGGACATGTGGGAGACGTATTAAAAACGCTTGCGAAATCAAGGTTTGACAATACAGCATCCGAAGTTCAATAAGAAATATAATCTCATTATAATCATTTGATGTAGAAGTGATCGAAAAAACAACATAAAGTTAACTATACGACCTCAAGCCCACCGTCTTCTCAGCTTTGCCCAGAAACATATCATCATTTA